TCACCATTTGTGACGTGTCAGCTAGCTATGACTTACATGCGTGTTCTTTGTATGTGTTTCTTAGAGGTTCAATTCATATCAAAATCTGCCAAACTTCCCATACTACTTCTGAATAGGATCTCTACTTCAGAAATTGTATGAAAATTGTGAAAATAATGGTTCATATCACTCAAAACACGAATGGAAATGCAGGCGCCCTTATATGGGCAGTAATGAAGTCTGATTGTGCCCTAGTGAAAAAGTTTGGTACTGCGCTCAAACAAAATCTTACTGAAAGCTCATTTTTTGAGATATCAACCTAAAATTTGAAACACAACTTGTTCAGATTTTTGGCTTTGATCTTTCTGCCATTTTAGAGTAGCCCAGGTTTTGAAAATATATATTTTATGTAAAATATGAATAATTAATATTTTTACATTGTACATTTCCATAAACTCAAACTTCTATAACTTTTTTTCTGTTTCACTTTCTTAATTTATTTCACTTCTACAAAAATCTGCCAAATGTCTTCTTTAAAACAAGACCAATCATATGTCTATATTCCAAAGCATTCTTGAATTACAACCATTTAAGTTCGAAATGTGCATTTTCATGTCTATTCAAAAAAGGGGGGGTGACAGTTAACAGGTTAAATATTAAACTACTATCATACAGTACAATAAAAACAAACAATTTATAAAATTCAAATTAAGACACAAAACAAACAAAAATAAATATGAAAAAAATACTTACATTAAAATACTATGTACTTCTGCTAAAAAAAAAAAAAAAAAAAAAAGTTTATCCAGATCCATAAATAAGTCCTTAAAAGTTTGTCCTGATAAAAAGCGCCGTCTCATAACAATAAAAATTGGGCAGGCCAAAATTATATGTTTTATAGACAAGTTGCTGGTACTATAGTATGGACAATTTGGTGCTTCTTTACTCTTAAATAAATGCCCATGAGTCAGTATGACCTATCCGGCACTTTCTATATACAACTTGGTCGTCAAAGAGGCAGTAAAGTAGTCACTTCTGTCATCCACGTCAGAAACTGCTGTATTATTTGTTGTGCTGGGCTTTGATAAGGGGCCGCAGGAGTGGTGTCTGGCGATTCCACCTGTAAACTGACGGTCTCTGTTCATCACTTCAAATGTCATGTGAATTATAATGCAAAGCTAGCATTTGTCACAAAGACTATTGCACAGATACATCTACTTGTCATACACAGACAAAAAAAAAGAAAGCTTTGTAAGAATATCTCTCCGTGGTGCTCAAACTGTTGCCAGATACCCAGAGAATAAATTCTAAAATCATTCACGGTCCGTGTCAGTATTTTATGAGAAGGGACATCACATCCTTTGACAGACTCAAACTGAACAGCTGAAATTAATTCTACAGTATGATAGCAATAAATCAAATCTAAATATTTGTATTGATGAGTTCTAAAATTACAAGGTAAAAAAAAATGCAATTAATAATATTTCAATACCGGAAAATCTAAATCACAAGTAGCACCACACCACAGTACACTTGTATTTACTATATTCTTTAACGTGAGCTACGAAATGTTGCTTCAACACAGACAAGGTGTAAAAGGGGTTATATTTCACATATCTGCCAATTAGTTAATACTTCTGCTCTGTTGTTGAAACAAGCTCAACAAACTAGATTTGCATTTCCTGAAGCAAGTGTTTGAAAGGCAACACAAGATGTACAGATGAACAGATGTAATAAAGAAATCACAGACAACAACTCTGTATGCAAATGGAACGAAAACATGCAACAACAATTCAGAGAGCAAATACTGGCAGATTGTGACTGGCAGATGCTCTATCATTGTCAAAGCGAGAGATTTCTTTAACATTTCTTTTGAAAAGTTAAAAATCTACAAAAATCTGTTGCATTCCTTTCAGAAAAAAAAAAATGGAAAGAACCAGAAGTAGGATTATGAGGCATATTAATGTAAATATAGTGGAAAATAATAAAGTGATTAGGAGTAAATAGGTGTGTTAACACTTTTGACCGCTAGACCCTCAGTAGTTGTGGTCTTGTTACTTTACAGCTATGAAAATGAACTGTATCAGCAGAATAAACTTAATGATTGTTCCACGACCATCAGCACCCAGAGGAAATCATTAATGTGCAAGTAAACATGGTTGAATGTGATGGTTCAAAATGTACAATGCTGTCAAAACTCTAAAATGAGACTGTGCAAGTGTATGTCAAAATCTCTGCTGTTGTAACAATGAATCTCATTAGAAATGTTAGTTTATATCTCATGGGAGAGTTTATACAGAGATCTTTAAGAAAAAAGCTGATTTGTGAGCAAAAAAGGGCATTTGATTAGTTAAAGGTAAAGCATGCAATTTCAGCAGACATATACTGGTGCAATTTCAATGTTTGACCGAGCGACCCAACTAATAGCGTTGGCTCAACCAGTGGCAGTTAAGTGTAGGACAGGTGGAGTTTTTTAATATTACTTTACCATTCAATTACAGTGAATGGGGACTAGCGCTCTTGGGCTTAAAAAAAATATAAATGTATCATAAAAAAGGATACTTATGTCAGTGACTTGAACATATGAACCAGATCAGTCTGATTTATGAACGAACCATTCATTCATTAAAAAGACCGGTTTCGATGAGTGAGACAGAGTGATACAATTTGACATCGCTACTTCTCTCATGAACTCTCACGACCAAGGACGGTTCGAGTGGATGTTAAGATTAAGTAACACACATTCTCTTCTGCCACACAAAGCTAATGTATGGTTTCAGAAGACCTAGAGTCTAACCACTTGTATGATATTTCATGGTGCTTTTGTGTCCTTTTTAAAGCATCAGTCCCCATTCAATTTTACTGTGTGGAAAAGAGCATGGAAAACAGTCTTTACATGATCTCCTTTTGTATTCAGGCCATAAGGGTTGGATCCGCAGGTAAATAATCACAGAAATGACATTTTTGGGTGAACCATTCCTTTAAAAGTCAAAACAATGTAAGGTAACTGATGTAAGCATCCTGAGATTTTAAAGCTTATGAAACAGAACAGAAGAAGTGAAGTTCAAAGTAGCTCAGATTAAGGGAGGTATTACCTTCAGGACCACAGCTGTCAAATACAAATCAAGAGCTTCTGAATGGTTTGTACATGCATCTTAAAATCTCTCAAAACAATCTCTGAAATGTTCCTTTGACAAAGGAACAGTCAGGCTTATCCAATTTTATACGGACTGCCTACGGATTGGGCGAGACAAGCTGTTGTAAAATGCTCTGTGATGGACCTAATTTTTCCCAAAAGCCTCTTCCACAAAACCTTCACAAACTCCATCTTTGAAACACGGAGGGAATTAGCCTCTAATTCACTCTACTCTATTCAGCCTTCTGCTGTGGCTCGGCAGGCAGGAAAAGGTCACAACAGGTGTCCCAACCAGTCCCCTTTTAAGAGTGCTTGGCTGTGTTCCATGGTTACCCCAGTGAATGCAACGCACCATTTCCACTCTTCAATCAAACACCGCAGGCCTTTTTCTTTACAGCTTTTGTCCAGTTCCTCTGTCTAACCAGGGTCAGAGCAGGGAAGCAAGTGTCCCGAGTGGTTGCTATTTTTCACACTGAGGAACTTAGAGCCTCGTGGTCCTGGATTGGACATATAGGTACGTAACAAAATAATACCACTTGTGGATGATTGCAACCCACTGGCATTTTTGCGAGTTTTTAAGAGTTTGAATATCCACAATTTACCATTGTTATGTTCGTTTTCAAGGGATCTTTTGAACCCTTTTAGAACGCCGTCTCAGGTAAAACGGGAAGTAGATTGTGTCTGTGAGATGTGTCGCTCTTGATGTCGGGTGACAAGTGTTGAACTGACGATTAAACCTTGTGAAGACTAGCATGTCGAATTTATATCAGTTCAAGTCGAGCTGTTTTATTGTCTGTCGTCTCATAACAAGACTGAAATATAGTACCTCAGGAGCCACGGCGTAAGATGCAACAACGACAGCTGGTCATAAGATGCCACAGTAAATGATAAAAATAATAATGACGAAGAATAAAGACAAAGGCGAAATGCTTTGAGCGAAAAACTGAGCGCGTGTTGTTGACTGGCTGTAAGGTTATTGTGTGGTGTAAAATGTTTAGTGTGATATATGCGTCATGAATACTTATTTTGGTTACATTTAAACACGCATACCAGTTATATGCCAGAACATTTTAAAATGGCGACTGGAGACAGTATGGAAAACGGACCAATTCTACCCCATAAAATATGTTTTATTAGGATTTCGCGGTTATGACAGCAAAATAAAAACATTAGTAAAACCAAAGAGAATAGTTTCAAATGTTCGGTTATTTCGCTGTTTTTCTGTAACGCGAAAAACAACGCAAAGGAAAATTCAAGAGCGAACATAAAATCCTATCGATTTACTTAAATACGCTGAATATTGTATTAGAGACATTTATGGTGGGTAGACAAACAATAAGCAGCGCCTACACGTGCGATTCTTTTAAAATTGTCTCGTACTAACGTGTTTTTGTGATGAAATTGTCTTGCAACAGATCTTATCAATTGGTCGACAACAGCTGCGTGAGGATTTAATATGCTTGGATTGACGGAAAAGCTTAGCAATCGTATCGCATGTTGGCACAATGGGAAAATTCCACCACTCACTAAAGCGGTGTGATTCTCTGCAACCAGCGGGTACCGACACGGCCATTCAAGAATTCAGTCACGCAAATGAAAATCGCAATATTAGGGATATTAGGGTTAACCGGTGCACCTAACAGCGAGCAACGTTGCTTCGACATTTCCGGAGACATGCTTCACCACAAGGGTTAAAAACCGTACTACGCTTTCACTCCTATCAGCATGCCACGCCATTTTCCTGCTTTATTTCCCCCCGCTTCCATGCTTTCCTGCTCTCCTGTCCCCCTCCTGAACACTGATCAGGGAGGTATTTTCAGTCGGAGGATGAGACACCGAACACATAAAAGCAACACAAATAAAAGGTCATTGTCTGAGGGCTTACCGGAGCCGAGGCAGGAAAGGGCCCGAACCAGTCAGTAACTATCGACCACGTGCGGGTGCTGGACCTGGAAGACGGAGAACAACAAAGACAGTTTGTGACAAAGCTGACACGCTGTAGTCTTGGAAGAGTAAAATCAATTGTGACATTTTTCATTTATTTGTAAATGCCTCTTTGGCGGCAGACTCACTCGAAACGACACTCGGGCTCTTACGGAATAGGAGAGGTGAGAGTAAAATAGAAGAATCCTGACAGTTGCCTTAATGAGATTCCGCATTAGGGCCAGGCTCACACACTTTTCCCTCAGCCAGGAGCACGCCCTTCACTTTCAATCTAACACACAAGTAATTTGGTAAACGTTAACCCTATAAAAAACTAAATCCAGACAGCATTGCTGACACTTTTCTCAAGAGCCTTAAATAGTTGGCGCTGATGAACAGAAATAGATGTATGTGCAGATATCAAATCAAACATTTGCAAAGAATATTTGATTTAAAAACTTGATCCAAAAAGTCAAGCAGATCTGACGCATCTGAGTTTGTTATTTCAAGCATACAGACACAATAACTTCAATATATTATTATGTATTATTTCCTGCCTTTAAATACAAAAGCTGTAAACTGGAAACATTTATTTATATAAAAACACTTTATTTGAATGTGTCCTTATCACATGTTACATGTATTTACTATAGTAATAATTATAGAATAATTACAGAAACCCAAACCCTACCCTAACCCTATAGTAAGTACATGTACTTAATATTGCTCTTTACTTAAAAGTATAATTACAATGTAACGGACACATTCAAATAAAGTGTAACCGGAAAACTTTATACTCAGTGTTTACATATGCACATACAATTTAATGTCTACTGATTGTATAAATATAAATAACCCATTTTTTTTTTTAAATCCCCTTGATTTACTATAGCAATTCATTTTAGTAACATGTTTACTGGGGTTGGGTATTGAGACAAATTTCACAATTCGATTCGATTTCAATTCACAAGCTTGCAATTCGATTCGATTTCGATTACGATTCGATTCAATATCGATTATTTTGGATATCAGTTACAATAAATGGCCATTTTTCTCAAGGGAATCAAAACTCTTAAATGCTGTAAACTATGGGAGTCTAGTTGTAGCCTATAGACTTCATTAGCCTAATATGAAGGTAATAATGAACTGTTTTGTAGCTATACAAACACTTAAATTACACTTTTATTTATTTTTATAATAAGAAGATTATATGAAATATAAACGTTATAATATTTTATTTAAATGGTGGCTGTCATAAAACCTTGCCAGATTTATTAAAAAATGCATTAAATATTGAAGAACATTAAGATTATAATGCATATGTAATATGGTGTATATACTGTATTTAGCAAAATGCTCCTCTCTAGAGTTATATTTTCTAGCTGACTAACGAGTTGATGTGGGTTTTCTGAGGTAAATATGACGAGACATGACATTGATTACAAGCTGTTCAACTGACGTCTTTCCACGGTTGAAACGCCGACTGAGCGAAACAATGTGACATGATACGGATTTCGATAAGCTGTACTCTATCTTTTAACAACACACTTTCAGATACTCATTCATGTTTATTTCTCGCTGTAACTGGTATTATTAACCCGGAAGAGAGATCAGCGCTGCTGCTTCTCTTTAGCTGCGCCAGAGCGATCTCATGCCACAGCGCCAAAACGCTATTTATGTTTTTGAATTTTTAAAGAAAATGGACATAATTTGAAAATTGAGACTTTGTTTCATATCAATAGTAAAAAAGGACAAAAATTATTGCGATTTTTTTGGATGCGTGCAGCCGCGATACAATGTCCCATTCAAATGAAACAGGATGACTAATCGATTCTTGAGATTTAAGAATCGATTTCGGTTCGTAAAAATGAGAGTCGATTAATATCGAGAAATCAATATTTATTACCCAGCCCTAATGTATACGCCTTATTCACGGCAGCGCCATCTTTGATTTTTAATGACCATGAAAGCGAGGCTGTGAGGGATAGTCATGCATCTCTTCTATGGGCTGTACTGTTATTTAATGTGTTTTCCGATTATGAAACACTGGAAAAATATATTTCCAAGAAATTTCACTTGATAAAAAAAACTCCTACAATGTAAGCTGTGGAAAATTGTAAGTAATCTAGGAGCTTTATTTAGCTTTTAACAGTGGATGCCATTGGAAACATGGTAAGTCTATCCCTCACAGCCTCACTTTCATACCTGTCATGGCACTGCTCTGAATAAGGTCTATTAGATGTAACAATCACTGCACTGTCTTAGGTGCAGAGGTTTTATTAGAAACATAAGCTTACACAATGTAATCATAATAACATTAAGAATTGCAGTAGGCCAACTTTAACTGAGAAATGCTTTTAATTTCTGTAATATACTGGCAGGTGTGTCTGGTAATCATACAACTAACAACAAATAATTAATACCAAAAAACCAAAGCTGAATTAACCATATTTATTTATCTGAATGTCAAAGGTAATTCTTTTCATTTCATTTATTCAAAGTCATAGATAATTTCTAAGTCACAGACTTAAATTGTAAGCCGTAAACATTACACTGTTAATCTAAAGGGTTCAAAAATGAGACAAAAAAAGAAAAGATGAAAAAGATCCAGTGACTGAATAATCACGTATGCAACCCTCATCATCCTTCTGCATCCATCTTAACTGAAGTAAAATACCCCTGTTCATAAGTGTTTTGAATAAACCTTTCCAGCCGCAGGTGACGTAAAGTACTTCACTAGAGAATTGATACAAGTTCATTGAGTTCACTCAGACTACTCACCCATTTCCACTTCGAGGGACTTCCTTATAAAGACTGTAATCTGTAAGCACAGGAAGATATATCAAACAGTAAAAGTTTAATGACTCTGGAATTAACTTGATCTAACAAGAAAAGTTCACTGAAAAATTATTCTGCCAATTAATTCTCTCATCATTTACTCACCCTCATGTAATTCCAAACCCTGTATGACTTTCTTGTTTCCATGGATTATAATAACCTTAACAGAAGAACGTACAAGTCATATATATATATATATATATTTTTTTTTTTTTTTTAAAAAAAAAACATACAATGACCTTGATCTTTTGAGCATTATAAAGCAGTACAAGTATCATATGTAGCAATTATTATTGTTAATTTAAATACATTTCTACTTGGATTGGCATCAGAGGGAAAAGCATTTTCAATCTAGAAAGCAAAGCAAATGGCAAAAAAACTGGTTGGGGCTATATTGTTCAAAAGTTAAGGGTAGGTACGACCTTTTAAATGTTGAAAAAAGTCTCTTATGCTCACCATTCAAAATTACAGTAAAAACAGTAATATTATGAAATACTATAACTATTAGTATTTTTACAAAACAACTATTAGTATTTTAAAAAGTAATGTATGTGCTGGCAAAGCTGAATTTTCAGCTTCATTACTCCAGTCTTCAGTGTCACATGATTTTTTCAGAATTCATTCTAATGCTTATTTGCTGCTCAAGAAACAATTCTGATCATCCTAGTATTATAAAAAATAGTTGTGCTGCTTAATTACACTTTTGATCAATTTAAAGGGATAGTTCACTTTGAAATTAATTTTTTAGCTTACCTCAAGGGCATCCAAGATGTAGGTGTCTTTGTTTCCACAGCATTTTCAATTTTGATATTTTTAGCTCAAACCGTTGTTGTCTGCCAGTCATATAATGGAAGTCTATGGAGCTCTCCTAAAAGAGCAAGCACAGAGAAGTCCAAATTAAACATGATTTAATAACTCATATATTTAAGTACACATTGATGGCCTAAGACACGAAACGAACAGTATTTATATCGTTTTTATATCTTGTAACCACAGCCACGTCCAAGTGATCTGAAGGCACGGGCGCTTCGGTCTGCGCATGTGCCGGAAGTTATCTCTTGCGCGTGTACGTCACTCATTGTTTACACAGAGATTTCGAAAGTTTCACCTTTCACTGTAAAGATATAAATATATTAGATATACCGAAATTCCTGCACAGTGAAAGGTAAAACTTTCGAAATCTCTGTGTAAACAATGAGTGACGTACGAGATCACTTCCGCCGCATGCGCAGACCAAAGCACCCGTGCCTACGGCTAAAAATATCAAAATTGAAAATACTGTGGAAACAAAGACACCTACATCTTGGATGCCCCTGAGGTAAGCTAAAACATATCAAAAATTAATTTCAAAGTGAACTATCCCTTTAGTGTGCCACTGTGCCCCCCAAACTTTTGAATGGCAGTGGATCTGCCATAAGTTCATTTTGTCAATGTATAGGAGTTCTCCAGCTAGCATATATATATTAGCATATTAGCTTTGAGGCAATGAGACTTGTTTTAATTTAATGGGGTCTTCAATGTAAATCAGTAGTGCTTAAAGGTTTTAAAAAAATGTCCTCTATTTTACTTTTTACACTTCAGTGGAACACACTCAAAAGGATTAAAGAGTGTACTGAATCTTTTGGAAACATCTACTTTTTTCTCTTAAGTCGCTATGATGTGCTGGCATAAATAAAAACAGGTGGCTATGTATTGTGAGAAAGTCCTGCGGGGGAGTGCACTAACATTATGCCAAAGACCCCGTCACATTTACTCTCCATCTCTGTCTGATTAGCATTTCAACTCAGTTGTCAGGTTTGCTTGATATGTAATCTGATTTGTGGGTCAGAAAGAGAGTCTCTCTTCTAGTAAGGAACATAATAGCAGTGTTATGCTGCCTTCACGGGTTATCAGAATTTTCGATTTTGAACTGTAAAAAGCCTTCACGTGCTTGTAGAACTAGTAATTAAAACAGTTATGACTTGTACCACATCCGCTGTACCACCTGACAACTGCAGATTAACCTTTCATCATTTCACCGTTCACGCCACATTGTTATGAGATTTCAACTTGTAAAAGGAGTTCAGATCCTTGTAAAGCTCGTAATTACAGCTTGTAAGGTGGGAATTTTCAGAGAGCTTCTACGCATCACGTGACGTCTGTCTACGTCTGCAGATTCAGTGGTCATTGGAGGCTGCTTCATTTCAGTAAACTGGCCAGTAAATTCCAAAGTCAATAAATTACAACAATTTATCCTTCACTAGGAATAACAGTCCATTATATAATAGTTACTGTTCTGAAATAATAGTACATCCTTAATGACGCATGCGGCCAATAGTTGCGACGAACTGAAGGCGTTTTTGCTGTTGCTCTGTATACGTCTATGGTCATTGCTGTCCAGGAATTATACGCTTTTAAAGTGGATTTACTTAACATAAAGTTAACGAAAGTTATCGTGAGGATTGTAATGTTTAAAGCATATGTCTTAACAAATGTCAGTAGACAGGGAAGATTTTAAAACGAGCTGTTCATTCATAAATACGGAAGATCGCTGTGCAAATACAGCCTGAAAGTGCAGCGCTGAAAAGGGACGTGGCAACATAAGGTCTATAGAAACGCATAATTTCCAGTCAAAGGACTTGAACAGTTATGAATAGAATGTCACGTGTAATCATCTTGAGACTAACGTTACGTAATAACGGCATGGCGAGAAAGCAGCATTAAGGCGTGTTAGACTTGAAGTAGCGCTGTGCAAACCAATCGGTGTACGACAAGAGTGATTTGAAATCATACAGTGTTTAATTAATAGTAACTATGACACGAATGCAGCATTTGATACCAAAGTTCTTGAGCTGGACGTGCCATAAATTGTAAACATCGAGAAATCTGAAATCTTTTTTTTTTTTTTTTTTTTTTGGACCCAAGCAGACAAAAAGTCTATATCATATACTGTACATATAACAAGGCAAAAATAACAATTTGGTTCAATCAAAGCATCAAAGGCAAATAAACATGGTTTTTACAACAATGTGAAAATATATAGGCCTAATAGAACAATCTTCTTATGAACACTATCTTTTATAACAAATGCCTGCAGAGGCCGCCAACGGCATGGTGTTTTTGCACTTTAAAGTAGATTGTGTTAAATCAAATCGCCCTTTAATTAAAATGTTGATTAATATTTAATGTTTAATATTTGGACAGTTGCTTTCCACTCCTTTATGAAGACAACGCAACAGCCACCGAAATGGACATCAAAACAAGAAAACTTAAAGCGAGGGTTTTATTCTGAAATAGCGATGAACAGTTCGCATTTGAAAACATAATATTCTCCTGCGTTAGCGTAGGTTTATACTTACCTTACAAATTTGATGAAATATCGCACATTGCGTTCCCAGATGATAAACAATACAAATTGTTGTTTTAACACGTTATAAACAAACAAAAGTACCAAACACGCAGCATGCAGAGATGAAGTTCACTCCACGCACCTTAATGAGAACAGGTGATGATGACGTACATCCATGAGCACGCTCTCAGACGCACGTAACGCATGTTAAAGCGCATATTAAACCCGCAGGACATATACTTATTTAATTGAACCACAGTCTTTATGAATTCATAATGGCCCTCATTTATCATTGTTGCGTAGAAAGGGGTGTTGGCGTAAGATTATGCTTACACTCCCTCTCACCGCCTGATTTATGAAGATGTGCGTACCTTTGAAATCCAGGTGTACGCAATGCCTGCCCTTGATAAATCCCGCGGCCGAAAACGTTGGTCATTAGAATAACACGCCCCTAAATATTCAAGTCTCCGCTCCCCCCACGCCCTCATTACGCCATGGACACATGGAAGACGGCAAAGAAGAGAAACTTCTCAGACGTGGAGCCGAAATGACCTATCAGTATCACATGCATTATTTTATAGCACGTCTTTTGAAATTAATTTCGAATCACGTCACCTGTATAATAGTGATGATGATGATGATGATGATGATGATGATGATGTGATGTGAAGTATACCATTCATTCAAATTAATAATTGCATGACGATTTGTAATAGTATTCTTCTTATTATGATTTGTATTAATGATGCTTATTGTTATTTAGAAGAAGGATGTCGTTATTATTATTTTGTATTATTATCATTTAAAATAAGAAGAACGTATTTTTTATATTTTGTCAGTCTGAATTATTTTTTAGTCATTGAAAGCCTTTCATTAGGCTACCGAACCCAGTCCGTGCGCACCTGCCTGGGATAATCCTGCAACGTCAGGGTAAAGCGGGCTCGCGTCGCAACTGAACACCTGGATAAAATGGCCATATGACAACGTCCGTTGAAAAACAACAGCACTTTTTGTCCACAAAAGCATTAAATCTGTGAAATTAATGTATTTTCCATTGTTTATCTCAGATTTTGCCTGAACGATCTGCGCTTCGTCATTCTTCAAAAAGTGATGCAATCTGAGCACCGTTTAAGAATGAATAGGCGACATATTATGTCTAAATTCTCACAAACAAATGCCTGCCTCAGTGCCTCCAAAGTTTATTTTTCGAAATAGGGAAGTAGTTTTACTAATAGCTAATATTCAAGCAGTGCTGTCCGATTTTGTTATATATTAAGAGGCATATTCTCTAGCCATTGTCTACCCAGACAGCAAACTGACATTGAATCAACGTGGAAACAACGTCTCTCATGACATTGAAACAACGTTGATTTTGCTCATCGAATTAACGTTGAACCAACGTCAGACGCGGCATTCTTCAAAGCTAAATGAAAATCGAAAAATTGGTTTGCTTTCATAACGTTGAAACAACGCGTTGATTTCAAGTTGATTTTCCGTTAGTTTTGAAAGAATGACGTGTCTGACGTTGGTTCAACGTTAATTCGATGAGCAAAACAATGTCAGATTAAAGGTTGTTTCGATGTCATATTTCCACGTTGATTCAATGTCAGTTTGCTATCTGGGTAGGCAAGTGCCGTTGAATAAGTAACGGCTGAA